AGGTGGACTTGAATGACTTAGATTCTTGCACTTCACTTGGTGGAATTAATATTAGGATGTTAGGGTTTGTAATCCAAGTGATAATATATACATTTTACACAATATATACACGTGAGAATATATACACACCCGATTACCTATATATACATGAACTTACGGTTACAGCTCAACAGCTGAGCTGGCCTCTGTAGCTCAGTTGGTTAGAGCGCTGCACCGGAATCGCAGGGCCGTAGGTTCAATTCCTACCAGAGGACCTTGTGCTGCATTTTTCGCAGTCATTCCTGGTTAGGTCTTAAAATGTATATATTCTCACTTGGATTACAAACCCTAACATCCTAATATTAATTCCACCAAGTGAAGTGCAAGAATCTAAGTTTGACAGGTTCAATTCCTGCCTAGGACCTAAAGTTACATTTTTCACAGCTGTTCCGGGTTAGGTCTAATAAAATGTATATAAATTTCCACTCGATAATTTCCATCAACTACTGCAATTACATGTCACACGTTACCAAGTTTGGGAGCTTCTTTTGGGCCGAATATGTTTATCGAGTGCACCACTTGCACCAATGGGACAAGAAAACAGATATAACCAAATTTATTTTGCCAAATCATGTAATTTGATGTCAGCAATTGTGTACAAAAAACAGTGTGCGGTGGTCAGTATTGGTCTGCGGTAGCACAATGAGTGTTGTGTGCACCTTTACACATCCTCATTAGCAGCAAGTGAATTGGCGAAGAAAATTATGGAAAATTTAGCTATACCAATTGAGAGCTAGATTGGGATGACCTTTAAAGTTAACATAGAGGGATATCTTTTAAGGCAAACATCAAACAGCAGGAAAACTGAGTGAATGGTGATGCAATACGTAACATGATTTGGAAGCAATGGTAGAAAAATCAATATTTAAAACATTGCTAATCAAGTAAATGGTGAAAAAGAAATGGCTGTACATCAGAATTGTATACTTAGAAATGTCCAATACAATAGTTGTTATTTTATAAATCACTCGCCTTCGGCTCGTGTTTCGCGCGCTTTTCTTAACTCTCGCAACATTCCCGCGTGTTTGCATCATGCAGGCCATCCAAACACGGAAACCATAAAGTAATTGTATAGTCCAAATTACTTCAAATTTTCAGGATTGCTTCATCTGAAAATACTCTCTGGGATAAGCGGAGAATTTTTTTGTTGTATTAATTATACAAAACTTATAATGTAAAAACTGCTCGATTTTTCCATCTTGGTTAGAGCCACAAAAAAATATAAGTTGCTTTTACAATTTCAAAATATCCTCCGCTCATCCCAGAGTTTAGTTCTTCCTGTGCAAGAAACAGAAAACAATACCAAATTTGAATGAAGGAAAGATATCTTTTCTTAAGGGGAGGGTCTACCCAAACAGTGACGGAAAATTGAATTATTTTTTTTTGGGTTAAAACATAAGTTTAGATCTTCATTTAACCACTGCCAAAAAATTGGGGGGTATTTCTCACGGATTTTGTGTTTTTTTTCAACATTTTATGACTGTGTATTTAAAATTTGCATGCGTTACTATGGCAACGGACATGGTATTTTTTAAAATTTTCATTGTTTTTTGGTGTAATATGTCATGTTTGCTAAAAATTGAAGAGAACAGTCAAGAAGGGTCTGCAAACTCTCTGTTCAGCGGCTGTTACTTCAAAACAATGCATTGTCTAGCGCATTGTGGTTTCTTGAAAAGCGAGCTCACCCAACAGCAAGTTGAAATATTTTCTGGTGATGTTATAAAAGCGTTCTAGTTAGTCAAATGATTAGTAAAAGAAAGAGAAGTGTCTATCGTAAAAGACTTGGCTGTGTTGGTCTGTAAAAGCAAGCGTCTGAGGACAATCAATCGTCCTTGGGTGATCAAGATGTTGATAGTGATTCTGATTCACAGAGGTCTGACTTGGGTGACACGCTTGCCGATAAAGGTGCAACTACACCTCAATTAGAAGGAACTCCAACACTCATTAATGCATTAAGATGGAAATTGAGTCAGCATAGCTGCCTTGGTACCCCCAAAAGATGCTATAGAAGAAAGAATTGCCGATGTCAAGCGAAATTCCTGACCTCTGCTAAATACCTGACCTAGCGTGACGGGTCAGAAATTTCGCGCGTACAGGCGCGAAATACATGACGCTTGCTAAATTCTAAGTCGGCCAAAACTGTTTTTTAGAGTTTAGATAAAATAATCATGATGTTAATTTCTAATACTTCGTTAAATATTTCAAATCGACATCGCTAAGTTTCAATCACAAACACTTTAAATTTCAAAGCGAATTGTGTGGTCGTGACCGCGAAATACACGACGTTTGCTAAATACGGTCGGTCGAAACGATTTTTAAGTCCATATGCGATGTTACCAAATGTTTCTAGCATAAACATCGCCAAATCTAAACGGCCAACTCATGAACTTCGAACTCATCGTTGCTGCTTACTAAATAGTGAGAAGGTCAAACGCGAAACGATTTTTAGTGCTTATAGTATAGTAATGCATATACGGCATAACCTTTGAAACTGGAGTCTATTTTATATCACTAAGATCGCTTTTCGAGTGATATTTCCATATCTACGATTCAAGGTTTATTATAACGTTCACAATCAGTGGTATAGTGTCAATTCAGTTGATCAATTGTAGAATTAATGTTGGAAAATTTATGTATAAATAAAATGGCTTTATAAATACACGTGTTGTCTGTTCAGTTGCGAAATTTATGAGCCAAAGTCATTCATGCGCATCGTCTGCGCATGGGCAGTTCTACAATAGTCAGATATTTCGCAAGTCAGGAATTTCGCGTCACACCGACCAAACCTCTGCATACAGTGATACACTGATACAGACTTGTTGACATTCAACAGCTGTCATCTGCTGTCTTTGATATTCATAAATGTCGAAAAGGTAGGCTTCATGATTTTGTTTCTAACTTGTAAAATACTTTTGGTAAAATTTGAAACAATCTCTTAGTTGTAGAATGCAGTTTTACTACAAATTTCTGCTTGCCCAGTGGACCAATAAATACCACTACATACTGTCATCATGTCATGTGTGTGTACTGCCCAAATATTATGCTATTATATCTCACTAGAAATTTTTCAAAACTTTCACATAGGAAACCTGTTACTTGAAGAAGGAAGGAAACAGGGGTTTAGGTCAAGCCTGAACATGGAATGTGTTTCGTGTAAAAATGTTGAGGTCTTAGATACATCTGATAGTGTATCGCGAAGGGGGTGATCTTATGATGTAAATCAACGGATGGTTTACAGTTCAATCGAAATTGGTTGTTGGCTATGAAGGATTGGTTACACTATCCAGCATTTTGTGGAGCTGCCAGTACACTGCATATAATGAAAAAGCTGTTAATTCCAGGTGGGGAATATACAAGCAAACGTTCGGCTTCAAAGGATAGAAAACGTGTGAGCATGCTGATGTGCGAGCAACTGAAAAAGAGAAAAAGTGACGTCAAGGGGAGAAAATTATTTGTGTAAGAAGGGAAGAAGCTTTAAGAAAGACAGATGTTACCACATATCAAGCTGGTGCCTTTTAAGTACATCCAGAAAGACTTTGGTCATGGATTTGAGTACATTAGACATTAATTCATAGACATCACAAATAACCGAAACTTTAAATGCCGTTTTCTCAAAATCACCTATTTCGCAGGTTGAAAAAGGATATCTCTAGAACAATTTGACCAATTGATCTGAAATTTTCAGGATTTATGCATCTTACTATGTTGTTGGGGATGAGTTGAGGATTTTTTCATATTTAGTTTTTAACCAGAGTTATTGCATAAAAATACCTAGTATATTTATGCGCTAACTTTAACCCTTTGTTTCTAGTGAAATATTTAAAATTTTCAAAAATCCTCAACTCATCCCCACAATTACTAAGTGCTATGTCTTTTATTAAAAAATGGGGTGATTTGAATTTGCCCCTGGCAAGATATTTTTTTTCAACTTCAGTCTGTCGAAAAACAGCATGTAGCCACTTTAACCACCTGGTTGCCAATGGCAACGCATTGTAGCCACCTTAAATATATTTTTTTAGAATCTTCATTCCATTAGCTTTCTCCTGATATATAGTTTGCCATAAGGTTTTTAAAAAGTATTGCCACAACAGACCCTTTAAAGATAGCTAGTAGCGATTCTCAAGTTTGGGTAGACCCTCCCCTTAATTAATTCTTTATATTTTGATTTTTTTACGCTCAACGTTTTTTTGAAGATTTGATTCGAAGCCAACTGTAAGTTCAACAATATAGAGTGTTCCGGTTGAGGTTGAAAGAAGCAAATCTGGACGGTAGGTGTCACCAGTGATGATTGATGGACTTTTGTACCCTGGGAGATCCACGTAAAGATGTGAGCCGCTTACGGTCTGCAGGCTTGTTGCGAGAAAGTTTAGAACGGAGTCATGTCTCCACGTGAATCGTTCTAGATACGATTGGCAACCAGCTACTACGTGCAGAAGTGTTTCAGGAGCTAGACATCGCGAACAGTCTGAAGTCGGTGATAAACCCCATCTTGCAAGGTTTTGGCGCGTTGGAAGGGAGTTATTGATGTATCGAACTGTAAAGTTAATAATAATAATAATAATAATAATAATAATAATAATAATAATAATAATAATAATAATAATAATAATAGTAAACTTTATTTAAAGGAAGTATTACAAAAGCAGTTTAGAATTGCTAATCTAAATTAAACTGTGCCTTAAAATTGCGCGTCTGTAATTTCACATTAAGCGACTGGACACTAGTATGAGCAAATGTTCATTCATATAGGCGAAAGTTTGATATGCATGGTAAATATCTCCTTACAAGACCATTTCTCTCACAAATATTCATCTACTAGGCTTAAAACACTAGCTCCCATTGTGCTTTCCTTTGACCTAATTAACATAAGCCTTTTGATGACGTCACAAGCAGGGTAAGCTTGTTAAAACTTCATGTGGGACTAAATTTCTTCGAAAACTTTCTTAAAATGTTGTGAGTTAATTGAGTACTAAAAAGACTTTGGAAATTTGAGTTTAATATTAATAATGACATGTGGTTTGCAAGATAAAAGTTTCGCTTTTTACCCTCGTGTGACGTATGCATATCGAATGCATATCCAAGATGGCGGATACATGTTGCTTGCTTCTGATCAAAATGAACCGTTGTTATTTCGAAACCAAGCAAGATATGGAATAATTGTAAAGGAAGTTTATATGTCATTTTAATTGATTTTGTAATGATTTTATATATCATTTATATTGCCATATCCCTTTAAAACACTCCTACGCTCTCCTACGTGTGTTTTAAATTAATAGTTATAGTATATATACATAAAATTTGGAATTGAATGATTTATAATATTATGGTCATTATATATTGATTAACACCGAATCTTCAATTTAGGGTGGTTTGGAGATTTTGGAGAGGGTTTTACCATAGAGTTAATAACAAGAGTTAACAGAGCTTTCAAACCGAAATATACGATCTAGGCATGCGCACTAACTATTAGTCACGAAAGGCAGACATTCAATTCATTCAATGACTTTGTTCGGAATTTTATGTTGGGCATTAATGTTATTACGTACGAGAAGTCGTTTTCCGCCTGTTAAATCGTTGAATAGTGTCTAAAAACAATACGACGATAGCCTCGAATTCATTCTCCCACAATCACGACAGTATATTATCTATATAAATACAACTGTATATGTACTATAGGTTTCGAATGGTATTGAGCGATAGCTGACACAAGTCGGCTTACGAGTTGCTAAAGTCTCGTGTTTCTCTTCTCACGAAGAGAATCTCGCTCGTAATTTCTGGCACGGGGGGCTAGCCATCGCTTGTGGTGCCCCCCAGTAATCATGCTAAAAATGCTAATTAATCTACCATCTGGAAATTTAAGCATGGTTCACACACATTCTGTCGGCTATTTTTCTCCTCCTGGCAAATATGACCGAATGAATGACATGCAAAGCACTTAGAATTATTTGCTTCTCAAAAGCGACCCTATACTTTTGTATGCGAGTTCCTGCCTCGTCGCTTCAGTTTCCAATAGAGATCAGTTGGAGAACAATGGGAGCGCCGCGCTTAATGGTGCGATAAAACAATTTAATCGCGACCGCGCGTAGCGGCACGGATGAGGGACTGTGGAAGAGTCAGTGCGAGTTCACTCATTTTCATCCGTCAGAAACACAAAATCGCCGACAAAATTGCTAGTGTGAACCAGGCTTCACACTTCACGGAGGAGATTTTTGGAAAATTTTAATGATCGGCACTTTCTTCCGCGCATGCTTAATTGTGACGTGATATTTTCTTAACGCTACTCTTAGTGACACGAGGCAATTTTTGCTGCAATTTACTGTGTCACTGCAATCGGCAAAGATGAAGTGAGGTAGCGACAATATTATCAAGACAGCTGCGTAATTAAGAGAGACACACAATGCACAGTTTTCAAGAAATACATATTTATAATACAACACGTGAGAATCGAAATAAAATTGTTGAAATGTTTACGAAAGAGCGTGAATTGTTGTTCTTGTTATAGTTTTTACCTCCGTTACCGCTGAGCTAGACACAAGGCCAGACATGCACTTCCCTTACACGTTTTGATTTTTGAACGTAAAAAAATGAAATTGAACATTAAAAAATGACATCCTAGATTTCATTTCAGCATACAAAAATCGAAAACATTGTTGCATAGAATTGTAGAAACATACATGACTGTATTGACTGAATGTGTATTCAGTAATTAAAACGCGTACGTGTCCGATCCAATTCATGGATTAATGGCATGTAAGAAAATTCTTTCAGGCACAATAATGGACAATAGATATGGACCGCCCGCCCGCGTCGACGGCAAACTATAAGTCTAATTTGGAGTGCGTGCTTAATTTATCTGGAATAGTTTATTCAAACAAAGTTTGGCAGAGTAGAATGCGCGCCATGCTCACAAATTTCTATGTGATTACCTTTTCGATCCCGAATTGCATTGCAAATGGCAGCAAAAATTGCTTCCTATACTTTTTAGTTCTATTTAAATACACGAAAACCTGAGTAAGTAGAGTTGTTGTTTTCCAGCCGTACTTTGAGAGTTACTACCGCACTATTAAGCCTATTAAAGCTTCCGGCTTTGAGTATGCAAAGTATGCAAAGATGATTATTGGCGCCTACAAAAAGTTAGACATTAGTGTGGGCGATTCATTTTTTTAACAATTTCACACGGAGACATTAGAGTTGGAGATTAATTTTTTAACAATCCCACACAAGTTTTGTGGCGACTGGATCTCTCACGTATAACTACGGCCGAAACATGTTGTAAGTCTCGCTCGAATTGGCAATTCCAGCTTTTAAATGTGCGCAGGGGGTGAGGGTGGGGGTGGGAAGTAAGGTATCATGTGGCGGCCTTGTAAACACGGAGTGATAGCTTATACTTGTAAATATTGAAATATTTCGGTTGTTTCAGCATATTAAATTAGCAATATGATACTTCAATTCCCATCCCCCTGCGCGCATAAATTAAAAGCTGGAATTGCCTATTGGCCATTTTTGCTATCCAGTGAACTGATCTCATGATAGACCGGACAGACCCAATTCTAAATGAAACTGCTCTCATTACAACCTGGATAGACTTTATGAAAAATGGCAGGGCCTTTTTTAACAATTTGCCACCCCCCCCCCAGCCAAAATCTCTTTTCTCTAAAATATAAGCAAAACATTGGGAAAAAATGAAATTTAGGAGGAATGTTCGATATTCTAGTGACTGAATTTGACCGATCACATTTTCATGCTGACGTCTTGAATTGAAACATGAAACTATGAAGTATCTATCAGTTTGTTTCACTGTTGGTGTAAGCGCATCAATGACCGGTCAAAAACAGATTTTGACAGAGCCAAAATCAAGTTGACTGGTCATTTTGACCGGATACCCATCTCCCGTTATTTTGAGCTTTGAGTTTTGCGTCTTTTTAGAAATGTCTTTTTAACTCAATGTCTTTTTAGAAATGCTAAATTTTCCTGACCAAACCCTATAGATTTGAGTTGTTGGAAGGCTGGGCTAAACGTACAAATTAGTGACCGAGTTGTGCCACAACTGCTGTGGTATTCACCTAAACATACCATGAAAGTAGTAACTGAAAATACAAATGTACCTGAACCCTCTCGCCGGGCTTGCATTCGAACCACGACTGACGGTAACCGAAATTGAGTGAAGCACGAGTCGACCCACGATATGCCCCATCAACACCCTTTTTAATTTAGTAATTTATACAGGGGCGTAGGAGGCTTTGAGGGGAACTTTTCGAATAAAAAAGGGCATCTAAAAAATTTTTCCCGGAAATGTTGGCGACGGGGGGGGAGGTCACAAAAAAAATTTCCGGACATATCACATTTTTTCCTAAATATGAAAAAAATTTTATGGATACACCAAAAAATTTTCCGGATATATGATATTTTTCCCGGAAATGAAAAAAAATTTCCAGAAATAACATAAATTCAAGTTTTCAAAAGTGTCCGTTGGGCAAAAAATGCAATCTTAATGACATTTTTCACGCAAGAAAAGGGCACTTCGCTCCCGGAAAAAGGGCACTTTGGAAAACTTGGGGGGGGGGCTGCCCCCCCTGACCTCCCCGGTTCCTACGCCCCTGAATTTATATATACTTGCATCAGACACCTTTTGGCGTGTTTCAAGTTTGTAAGACATATGAGTTTGCCTAATAAATATTGCAAATTTGTTTGAACTGGAAAAAATCGTAACAAAGGTTGTGGATTACATTGAAGGGTTTTGTAGATGGAAATTATCGAGTGCAAATTTATATACATAAGACCTGACCAGGAACGCCTGCGAAAAATGCAACTTGCTGGCTGGAATCGAACCTGCGACCCTGCAATACTGGTACAGCGCTCTAACCAACTACAGAGGCTAGTGTCGAGCTCTAACCACAAGTTCATGTAAATGTATATAAATTCCATTTACAATACCCTCAATTATTATTCAATCGAGTGAGATTAAGCATGTCCCGATTGTGCTCATAAAATCCCAAAAAGTTGCTCTCTAAAACAACTTAGTTGCTCTCTAAAAAGCATACAAGTTGCTCAAAAATGCCCGAAATAAAAAAAAGTTGCTACTAAAATTCAAAACGTTTGTACTCATTACGTTAATTTCACGACATACGTTAATTTTTAGCTTTATACAATTTCCGTAGGCTCGGTAAATTGTTTGGAATTATAAAGAGATAACGTTTTCTTTGCAAAAGTTTTAGAAATAACAAAACAAAGGTCGTAGAAAAATTAGAAAATAAGATAGAAAAATAACACAGAAAATGAAGCAACCTCGTACCCAGGGTCTTTGCTCGCGAGGAGCAAGAAAATGAAGTTGTCTATCACATTAGCCCGCGTGCAGGCCCAAGGGAACTGATATCAGTTCCCTTGGGCCTGCACGCGGGCTATCCGCGGCATGTAAACATTTCATACTGTAAAGTTTATACTCGAGTGAAAAATTGCTCAAAAACGGGAAAAAGTTGCTTGAAGTTGCTCGAACCGAAAAAAGTTGCTCCAAACGCAAAATGTTGCTTAAAAGTTGCCGAGCACAATCGGGACATGCCTAAGTGAGATACAAAGAAAATCTTGATATTTATTGTCAATCAAGGGTTTTTTTGTCGAACATATGTGTGCATACACAGAAACTCGGGGGCTGTTCATATGAGCCTGGATGAATTGTGTCATGAAATTTTTCTGACCATAAAATAATATAATTATGTTTCAATATGTTATAATAAGTATTTTCGTAAACTCTGACTACTGAAATTTTGGAATTTCGGATTTTTGGGCTAGCTGTGTCAAAACGAAACAGCAAATCTTTATCCAGCGGACCAGCGGTTAAACGCAGAAATTCCAATATGGCGTCCACAGATGGTGAGTTTCTTACATTCTTTTGCCGTTTTCTTGTTTAAAAATTAACATTGTTGAGGCTTACACTGCAATATTTTGCTCTCCGTGTTCTTTAGATGATATGATTAAAAAAAGACTTCTCATAGACGGCGAAGGTGTGGGGGATGATCGCAAAATTCAGACTCTACTTAAAACATTTCTGAAGTGGTTCAATAACACAGATGGGTCCGAAGACGAAAAGTAAGAGACTGGGCCAAGTTGTGTATAACAAGTACATGTTAACAAATGCGAATCTAGAGCTTTTGCTGATCTAAGTATAAAAGGGATAATAAAACCACTAAAACACGTTATTGACAGATCAACTGAGATGGCCAGTATGACAATCGGATACCGGATATTGTTGATCTAAATGGCCATTCCATTTAACCCATACACCCCTGTTGACTAGATTTTCCGAAGGGGGTCTGAATTTCTGAGGGGGTACCAAGTTGAAATTTCTGAAGGGGTCAACATTTTTTTGTAATTTTCCAAGGGGTTAAATTTTTTTTTTAAATTTCCGAGGGGGGGAGGAGGAAGGTTGACGAATATTTCCGAGGGGGTGGTCAATAAATTTCTGAGAGGGTCTATCATAGTGGAAGCATGTCAAAAGTTATTTCCGAGGGGCTTGAGAAAAATTGTAAATTTCTGAGGGGGTTCTACAAAAAATAGTGAATTTCCGAGGGGGTCTTCCGGAAAACCGTTTCTGAAGGGGTCTAAAATCAGAAACCTCGTCAACAGGGGGTGTGGATATTAAATGGAATGGCCCAAAGTTTGGGCTTTCATTTAAGTTATTACAGTAATGATTTCAAAGTTAGTTTCAAAATCAGAGTGTTTATAATATTTTGACTTGTAGTATGTGATATAATATTTTGACTTGTAGTGATCGCCAAAAAGTTTTTGCCAGAAACTTTAAAGGTGAAATCTACTTGACAATTATTGCCAGCTTCTCTATGATCATTTGAAGTAGAAAATTATAGACATCCCTACTTTTTAACCATATAAAATATTTTTATTCTGAAAACAAGATCTGAACTTTATACAATATCCAGTATCCAGTTGGATATCAAGATTATGGTTATTATACCGAACTATTTTATTATGCACCTGATCATGCTGGACCAAGACTAGTATGATTGGAGCACATTAGACCTTTCCCCTTTTGAATGAAATTTTGATCTAGACAAGTCTGGACAAAAACACAGCTTGAAAGAGCATTACAAAATTAGTAATATTCCAAAGTTTCATTGCCAAATGTTGTAAAATGCAGATAATATAGCCTTGCGAAGTTTGCCATTTTTCAGTCATTTTGTATTACAAATGGGAAATTGATAATCAGTTTGATCATCTGATTATCAATTTCCCATTTGTAATGCAAAATGACTGAAAAACGGCAAACTTCGCAAGGCTATATTATCCGCACTTTGCAACATTTCGCAATGAAACTTCAGAATATTACTAATTTTGTGATGCTCTTTCAAGCTGTGATGAAATTTTTGTCCAGGCTTATCTAGATCAAAATTTCACTCATAATGGGAAAGGTCTATTGTGAAACAGACTATAAATTATAGTCATTGTGTCAGTGTCTATGAGAATGATTTTTTGTTAAAACTGCTCTCAGAATGCAGCCAGTTAAAACTTCTACAAGCCTGAGAAAACCACACATATTTTTCTGGGTGAGCTAGCCCCTTGGGACTTGGCAGGGCCTTTTTTAACATACAAGCTGGGGGGCATTTGCCCCCCCAGTCCCCCCTTGTGCCCCCCCCCCATGAAATCACATTTTGCCCCCCCCCCCAAGGAAAAGTCCCTTTTTCCTAAAATTATACAAACAATCCAGCGAAGATTAACAAATAGATAAACGGAAAGTAAGTTTTAGGCTTCATCCTTTGTTCTTGTTTAACTAAATCGATTTAAATTGTTACTTTTTTTACCACTGAGCCATGATAAATTATTATTAATATTTTTTATTATTTTTTGGATGCTCAGAATGCAGGAAATAGCATTTCACGGTTTCAAATTTCAAAAATTTTCTTGGGATTATCCCTCTAATAAGTAATGATAAATTACAGTTAATATTCTTTTTTACTTTTTGTGCATTTTTCCATCTTTTATTTCAAATACAACTATAGTTAGCATAAATTTTAGAGCAAATTTGGATGCTCAGAATGCAGGAAATGGCATTTCCGTGCTTCAAATTTCAAAAATTTTCTGGGGGAGTACACCCCACACACCTGACCATTGCTATCCTCCTCTAATAAGTAATGATAAATGATGGTTAATTTTTTTTTACTTTTTGTGCGTTTCTTCCTTTATTTATTTCAAATACAAGTACAGTTAGGATAAATTTTGGAGCAAATTTGTATGCTCAGAATGCAGGAAATGACATTTCTGGGTTCAAATTTCAAAACTTTTCTGGGGGAGTACACCCCCAGATTCATGCGTGATATATTTGCCACACACGTGGCTTTCAGCCATTGCTATCCGCCTCTAATATGTTATCTCACAGAAAGGTCCCTTTTCAAAAAATGCCCCCCCCCACGGGAAAATCCTTAAAAAAGGCCCTGGGACTTGGTCAATCTAAAATCCTAGTTATGTTTCGGAAGAAAGTACGAGTTGAACAAGAATTTGAGCTAAAAATGCACAAAATGATTAACTTTGTAATTAGATCTTTGAGTGGCAGCACTCTCCCCTCGAAAAATAAAATTGTCTAGTGTTAGACAGAGTAAAATAATAAAGTAGGGCACATCAGGGTGGATTGCCACTTAACTGGTTAACAGGATGCATGAGCAAATAATCTGATTAACCCATTAAGTGGCAGCACTCTCCCCTTGGCAAGTCAAATTACTTGACATAAGACAAAGTAAAATAATAATATAGGGCACATCAGGGCACATTGCCACTTAATTAAAGGGTTAAAATAGCTGCAAAAGCACCTTGGTTTAAAAATGATTTGTCTGTTTTGGAAAGCAGAATATGATTAAAGTGACTAGCTATGTGCAAAGATATACTTTAGCCTAACATTAGAGTTTTTCATTTTGGCAACTATCAAAAAAAGCAAACTTTTCTGCAAACCACTCATTGCTGACTGTCACCACTGGCATTAAAATGCTTTAATATTCAGCAGCCCTAGAATATAAACAATTGAGAGCTAGTACGTTCTCCTTGATGAGTAAAATCATCTGGCTAATGACAGAGTAAAATAATAAAGTTGTAGGGTGTGGTAGGGCCCAATGCAACTTAATGGGTTAACAGTAAATTATTCATGAAGTTTTTGTTTATGGCCGTAATAGCTATGCAATTAAACCTCCCGCCACAGAAATCTATCTTGTTTGCTAAAACTAATCTGTTTTACCATAGGAATATTCTTTACAATAAAATGCTCATCCTGTTATCCCAGTGCGACTTCAATATTGGTAAAACTTCACAAGTTTATGAAATGAACCAAAGAGAGATGAAAAACTACAAGAAACTTTATGAAGAAATTGGTAAGATACTGTACATGCCTCCGCATAGATAAAATCATTTGAACACTGTACAACAGACCTAGAAAATACATTTCTCTTCCAAAAATAAAAAAAATGTTTGTTTGTTTATTTTGGGGGGTTTTCTGGCAGCAAATCCAAAAATGAAAAAATTCCTGTGTAAGTCAAATATAAAACTTGTTGCATATGTAAATTTCAGAGAATGTGTGGTGCCACACAAACTTCAGTTATCTCGACTTGTAAAACGCTTTTGTAAACAATAAATAAATTCTATGGTATTCCAGTATATAAGATGACAAAAAATTTCCTACAAGATGTAAGAAGATTTCTTGCAAAGATATTTTGTTAAAAACGCCTTGGCAGTGGTGTTGCTGGCGCTGCCGAACATTTTCCAGCTCAATGCTTTGCAAAATACTGTAATCGAGTTTAGCTGCTGATATATTCCCACTTTACCAAAATCACAGATACTTTATTTCGCTTGAAAAAACTTGTCATGTGTTTATGTCGTCAAAACATTCTGGAGATTATTCTGAGAGATTATTCTGAGATAGGTAAAAGTAGTTTGAAATTTCAGCAGAACAAGACATAGGAATGTATTCATATTCTTAAATTTGTTGACACTAAAACATGGCACCTTTTTCAGGCTAGATGAGCATCTGCAGTTTTGGTAATAACTGAAATAACTTTGTAACTTGTTGACTCAAACTTGACAAAGTTCAGAGCCATCTTTAAGGGAGGGAAGTGAGCCAGACTTTCAAAACTTAACTGCAACTACTGTAGTTTAAATTTTGCAATGAATTGTGTGCTACCCTCATCATGTTGTAATTGGGCCTAACAAGAATATCCTGTGGTTTTAGTATCCTGACTGACCCTCTTTTTCTGATGACCCTAACAGGGTTTTTATGTGGTCGGATTGCACCATTTTGATGCAATGCAAACGTCGGTCATTTATAGGGATATGGCACTAAAAATTAACTTTGTGTTATATCAGCATTAGAAACACCAGGTGGAAATCGAATTCTAGTTAAAATACAAAACGTCACTCAATAAATATTTTTATATACCAAATGTTTTTTGAATATGCCTCTTTTACGAATTATTTGCTGGGCAATAATATTTTTAACTTTGTCTTATTTGAAAGAACTTTCAAAGTTACATATGAAAACCGTTTACAACTTTTTCGTACCCTGCTTATTTTTCGAAATATTTTCACCAGAAATATTGTGCAGTCCGCCATCTTGGTGTTATAATCGACCTAATTAACTGAGTTTTTGATGACGTCACAAGCAGGATAAACTTGTTAAAACTTCTTCGTTTGGGATTAAATTTCTTCGAAAAGTTTCTTAAAATATTGTGAGTTAATTGAGTACTAAAAAGACTTCGGAAAATCGATTTCCGTATTGATAATGACATGTGGTTTGCAAGATAAAAATGTTGCTTTTTACCCTACTTGTGACGTATGCATATCGAATGCATATCCAAGATGGCGGAATGCATGCTGCTTTTGATCAAAATAATTGTAAAGGAAGATTATATATCATTTTAAATGTTCTTTCAAATGCAACAAACTTAATTTATATTGCCATATCCCTTTACTAAGAAACGTATTAAAGGCACAGTTAAGCCTTTCGAATGATGGTTTTTAAGGCGCATTTCAGCCCTTTTAATAGACAATTCCCATTGTAGACTAATTTTAAAATTAGGCAAGGAGATGCAAATAAATCACCACAGCACACACGCTAGAAAGAGTATACTAAAATTAGTAAATTTGGAAAGTTTGGTTGCGAAATGTTGTAAAATGCGGAAAATATAGCCTTGCAAATTTTGTATACTTTTGTATTACGTGCGGAAATTGATACCATTTTCGGCCCAAATGTGGTAAGAATTTCCGCA